TTTTAGCTAGGATATTCAGTGTGTACACTGAGACAGGTATTCCAGGACCGAACCCGCAGTGAAATGCAAGAAAGAAGACAGAAACACTGGTACAGCATTATTCCAGGAGGGAAGAGTTAAAAAAGTGGATGGTGAAAATCGTACTTCCCTTGGTTTCAAAGCCCCAAATCTTTGTTCCTTGCAGGGAGAGGAAAATAGTTAAAAACAAAAGTTACCTGTACACATATGAGACGACAGAGAGTTATTCTCAACTTAATGCACTTAATTAATCCAAACTGTAAGGCCTGCTGCTTCGCCGGAGGCCAAACACACTCACCTCTGCACTCGGCACCTGACTCTGCACCCGGCACCTGGCTCTGCACCCGGCACCTGGCTCTGCACCCGGCACCTGACTCTGCGCATGGCTCCCCTGGAAGGCTCCGGGTTTGCCCTGGCCGGCTTTTACACCGGAAACCAATAGCAGCCCACCCCGCCCCAATCCCGCTCCCCCGACCCAATCAGAGCACCCAGCTGTTGCTCCTTCTTCCTAGCATAAACCACCCCGCCTCTCCGGCCCCAGGAAGTCAGCGCGACTTCTCTGGCCCCCTTTCCCTGACCACAGAACCTCGCCTGGGAGCTGAATAAATTGGCATTTAATTTTCTTATACTGGCCTCAGTTTCCTCATTTTAAACTCGGCAATAACCCTTACACAAACCAAGCATAATACTTTTATAATGAAAAATATAGGCCTTGAAAAATCTGCCAAGCAAGAAACACATCGTATTCCCATAAATGTTCATTTTATCAACTGTTTAAGGAGTTTTACTAGTGGCTAAGTGGTAATAACCCAGATAGGCCCCCAAAATGGAACACTGGCCTAAGCATATCTCTCTAACACTCATGGTTCCTAAATAACAAGATTGTTGAACAAATTACATCTCTTATTCTTTTCGTGAATCTTTTTAATGTAACCACTCACCAATAAACATGAAATCAGTAAATCAATCATTAAAAATAACTGTCTCCACATATTTATAGATTGAAACACAAATGATAAATACCACATAACAATACCTGTATAGAACTTTCACTAAATGCTTTATGTTTTCACCCATGTCTCTTGATCAAAAGTGTATTTATATGACACTATCTACTAACCAGGATATTTTTATTCTTCTTAAGATCAATTCTGGGCCGGGCGCGGTGGCTCAAGCCTGTAATCCCAGCACTTTGGGAGGCCGAGGCGGGTGGATCACGAGGTCAAGAGATCGAGACCATCCTGGTCAACATGGTGAAACCCCGTCTCTACTAAAAATACAAAAAAATTAGCTGGGCATGGTGGTGCGTGCCTGTAATCCCAGCTACTCAGGAGGCTGAGGCAGGAGAATTGCTTGAACCCAGGAGGCAGAGGTTGCGGTGAGCCGAGATCGCGCCATTGCACTCCAGCCTGGGTAACAAGAGTGAAACTCCGTCTCAAAAAAAAAAAAAAAAAAAAAAAAAAAAAAAAATCAATTGTTTCTTCTTTCTGCATATAGGGCTCCCTTTGATAGCAAAGGGTCTCTCCCCAGCAGAGGTAATATAAGCCTCTTCATCCTCGGAATTGCAAGTGTTTGTTCATTTTAACATTTACTTTTCATAAAGTTTATTGGTTCAAACTATTTTCAACTGTGCTAGCCCTGCCACACAATTTGCCTAAGTCACTGCTACTGCTGTAAATTTAATTTTTGCATATTTTCACTATTAAAAGGACAACATTAGCTTTCTGGGAATGAAGTACCATTACTTCAAAGCTGAATTTTAGAAAATGTATCAAGCTCTTGGCCCTCTTAAAAAATGTGTGCAAAATATTAAGACAATTTCTAAACTTAAAACCTCATGATTCACCAAGTTTTAAGCAATCTCATACAAACTAAATCCTCAAGCAAGATAACTCTTTAACACATTTTAATAAATATAATTTATACAGTCTTTAAACCAGTTTATTAAATTATATTTATTCTCAAATAACTGTTAGCGAGAATGAATGGGATATGCAATGAAGTCAAGAGATATTATTTATATTACTTATATCATTCATATTAATGTATAGCATTATTTATATTTCTTATTTTCTACTTATCATTGTGAGTAAGGGGAAGAACTTGAACTAATAACATTTCTACCAGAACTTCACAATACCGGTATTTTCACTTTATTTTAAACTAGCCATCATGAAAAATCTGATTTAATACTTTGAAGCACTTTCAGTTATGACTATTCAATCATGTTATGAATCAGCAAATTTGTTGCTTCATTAAACTGCTTTTAAGACTACCAAAACTTGCCTAGCTCTTCTGTCACACCTTTATCAGAGGAAATGGAAGAAGTTATTACAAGGACGCCCGAAACTTGAAAAGTTTCAAACCTGGACAATTACTCATCAGAATTTTCTTCTGAAAGACATTTTGTAGACGTTTCCCATGATTATCTCCTATTCTGGATGGCCCATCAAATCCCATTCTAAACAGGTATTCAACACTTACTGAGTACCCACTGTGTGCAGATACAGCACTATACTAAGCAAAAGAGTATACGGTTCTGTCTCATTTTACTCGTGCATAAATACACAGCAGTCGTGATTTATTCTCTCAACTTTGTAGAAACGTGAGCTGCATCCACATGACTGAATCCATGGCATTCATTTGGACTTCCTGGGGCAATTTACAGGTTCTCTGGATTAGACAGCCCGTTGGGACATCGCTCGGCCCGTTCACCTTCTAGCCCACGCAGGACAACTCGCGGGCGTCGGCCACACCTTCCGCAGGTGGCTGGATCACCTGAGCCAGATGCACCCGGCCCACCTCCCTTAGCAGGGGTTCCAGATAGAAGTGTGTAAATGTGTGCAAGGACTTCTGCAAATCAGAGGACTTGTTGAAAGACCCAGGGGTCCCGGCGTGAAGGGAAAGCAGCCGATCCGCGGGGCACCCCCTCCCCAGCGTCCCCCGCGCCCCGGGCGCTGCGCAGGCCGCCGCTGATCCCAGGGCGCAGCCGGCGCACCTCGGGCCTAGCACTATTAGAAAAGCAAATCGAAGAGCCGGGATGCATTTAAATACCCGGCTGTGGGCCCTGGGGGTGGCTCTCCAGCGGACACCTCCGCAGGGGCCTCCAGGGCGCGCCGACCCCGGGGCGCTGGGCGCGGCCCGCGGGCGCACCCAGGACCTCAGCCCGCAGCGCCTAGGCGTCCGCACCAGGCCGGGGCACGCGCGGGCATCCAGAGCCCCCGGTCCCGCGTCCCAGCCCCGCCCGGGCCGCTCGGCAGCCACCCGGGAAGAGGGCGAGCGCCCCGGCCCCAGCCCCGCGGCCGCCGGCCTCGGCCCCCTCCCGACGCACCACACCTAGCAACCGGCGCTGACAGGACGCAGTGGCGGCGGCGGCGGCGGGAGGAGGAAGCGGAATGGCTGCCGCGGTGGAGCCACCCCCGCCCCCCCCCCACCCCGCTCCACCTCCCCGCGGCAGCAGCCGCAGCCGAGACCTGACAGCTCGCGCCGGGGCGGAAGCGGCCCGCGGTGTGCAGCGCCGGCCCCCCGCAGCCCCCAGCGCCTCCGGCCGCTCGGACCACCGGGCCAACAAACTCCGCGCCCCTGCCCAGCGCCCGCCGCCCGCCGCCCGCCGCGCCCTCCGCCCCGAGCCCGGGCGCTCGGCCCCGCCGCCGCACCCCCCGCCGCCTCGCCGCGGCGCTCCCAGCTCCCACCACTTCGCAGCCCGCGTGCACGCCCCGGAGTCCCCCAGCCGTCCGCCCGCCCGCCGCACCTCGGGGCGCCTGCCCCCTCCCCCACTCCAGCCCGCTCCCCGCCCCCCGGCACCTCGCGCCCCCGCATCCCGCCACCCCCCACCTCGGGGCTCGCACGCGCCCTCCCTGCCCCGCCGCCTCCCTCCCCGCCGGCCACCCCTGGCCATTCCGGGGCTCCCCGCCCAGGCAGGAGTTTCCGCGCGCCCGGCACCCCCGCCCACCCCCGGGTCATTTACCGATGTGGTTGTCCTCGATGTGCTCGATGAGGTCGGCCAGGGTGGGGAAGTGGAGTCCGCAGCCCCCGAATCGGCAGGTATTGGAGAAGAAGGAGGCGGCGGCGATGCCTGTCATGGTGCTACATCGAGAGCCCCCCTGGTGTCGGCTCTGTGAGCGCCGGGCGGGCGAGTGAGGGAGGGAGGCCGGGTGGGGTGAGGAGAGGAGGGGCTGGGGGAGGGGGAGAGAGGCGGGGTGAGGGGAGCGGCGAGGACGGGACGGAGGGAGAGGGGGCGAGAAAGATGGAAGGAGAGCGAGGAGCCACCGGGAGGCAGAGGGGAGGAGGCGGTGGCTGCGGCGGCGTCGGGAGCGGCTGGGGGAGGGTGGGGGCGGGTGTTGGGGGAGGCCGCCGCAGCTGGGAGGAGGGACCACGGCGCGAGGCTACAGCTGTGCGGCCCCAACCTCCGCGCTAGGACCCAGGCCTCACCTGCGAGCCCTGCCACCAACTTTATCTTGCTAGGCCTGCCCTTTACGGCTTGCCATCCGTGCCATCTGTTTGGATCCTCCTTGGTTATGTATATGACGTTCTTAATATATACACACTGATTACTTACACCTACCTCCCTGCGAGGAGAACTCGGGGAGTTACCCTGGCCCCTCTTGGGGACCTTTTTTTGTACTCAGCCACCTGTCTAGGTGTGACACATTCACAGGGGACCCAGGAAAGGTAATTGTGTGCACCTTCTTCTTTAAACCTTCTTTAAAAAAAGTCTGTATTCTCCGGAGGTTTGTACTAATTGATTTTAATGAAGCTTCCCTCTAGGCCAGAAGAAAATCTTAGCTTTATTTAAATTTCAAAATAGAGTGCCTGGTTGTCAAGTGCATTTGCCTGTGTTTTACATATGTACCACGGTTTTTATACTTCCTGCTCCTTTTGGGAAAACGTAAACTAAAATAACTTCATCACCCCAAATCACAGCACCCCACTGTACCCACTCCACCATCTCGGGTCTGGTAATTAACCCATCTACATTTCAGCACAGCAGAAAGGACCGTGTATTGGTTAAGCATATAAGGAGTAGAAAAGAAACAAGGTCAAGGGACATGGTGACTCTTCGTTTAAAAAGGAAGCAATTTCATCCTGTTAGCATCTTCATTTAAAAAGGAAGCGATTTCATCCTGTGAGCATTTAAACCACAATGTTGACCAGGTAAGCACATAAGCTGAATTTAGTAGCTTCCCTGAAAACCAGCATTTTGCTGAGAATCAATTACTTTCTTGTCCCCACCCCCTCCTCCAGTTGCAGTCATATTTCTGCTGTAAAGTGTGTGTTTTCCAGTAACACTTTTCCTGGTTCCTAAGAAATATTACACGTTATCTGCAGTTTATGACCCAGCAGTACATTTTTTATTAATATTAATATATGCGTACTGAATTATCATTTTTCCGTATGGCAAATTTCACTGACCCTCTGATTCAGATACATGGAGAAATAGTATTCCTCCCTCCATAAACTCTGCATCTCTATCTACTGTTATTTCTGATAATGGCATTGTTTGCTTTTTGTGCGAGTGCTTAGGGTAAAGGCACATGTAGTGTGTCTGTTGTTACAGGAAGTTTTGTGATCTGATCATCACTGGTGGCATTTTCTCTTGCTCATCTCTTCTGTCTTGCAGCTTACAGTAAGGTGACAAACTTTTGCTGAGATGAGATTCCGCTTGGGTGGGACTGGGGCAGCTGTGTCTTGAAGTTCAGTTTGGTGCCAAGAATTGTTTTGTGGGTCCAATTGAGGGTGGGGGCAGGGCCTTGGTGGGCCTGATAATGAGCCAGGGACCCAGTTGGCAGGAGACTGGGGCCAAGACCAGACAAGGGTCTAAAGAGCAGGAGTTAGAATTCTAGATCTTGAATTAGAATTTTGGCAGCTGTGCAGTACATTCAGCTGCCCAATCTGGGAAGGCCTTCAACTGAGAGCAGGCAGAATATCTGGCAGACACACACCACACCGAATGACATGGAAATGCAATACAAAAACTTCAGCCAAAAATGGTGCCAAAACAGCCACCCTTAGACATGAGTGTTAGGCACCCCCACTGTGCAGCATCTGGGGAGCCCCAAAAGCTTTGAAGAAGTAGCAACTCTGTCCTCTGGAGGGAAAATTGTCTATGGGGAATTATTAACTCGCAAAAGAGTGTGGAGTGATGGTTCAGGCAAGAGGGCTCAGAGACGGAAAGTGCCAGAAATACGCAGGTGAAAGATGAAGGAAGTAATGCATGGCTTTCCACTACCTCCTGTCAGTTTCAGTGTTCCTAAAATAAAACCTTGCTAGGCCAAATTGAAAAATAAGACTTTTTTTAAAAAATGAAATGAGCCAAAATAACTTCCAAGATGAATCAAGATTTTGATTTTTAAGACAAAATTATTTTCTCTACCTTGGATAATTATTAATATTTTATAAGGAATCAGTTTATTTTGCCTGAAAATAATCTACCCTGCTACTTTGTGTGACTGAAGCTTTGTTTATGTGACATTTTGCTCATGCTACTTTTAAAAAAATATGTACTCTCTAGGCATTTCTGTTCTTTAAGTAAAATACATGATTATGATATTTTAGATCTGGAAGATAACCTGGCTGTCAGAACCATTGGTTTTGAAGATGTGGTAAACTGAGGCAACAGGGACCTCAAGCAAGTTCTCCCAGGTACACACAGTTTTTTTCTCCGTACTCATGGTGCATTTAGAAGGCATTGATAGGCAATAGAAGGACAAAGATATAGTAACTGCCTACAAACTTTTTAAAAAATCGCTTTATAATAGCATGCTTACCTTTCTATACTTAACATTTTTTAAATGTTTGTTTCAATATCTCTTTAAAGTCAACATCTAAGCTACGAAAATATGTAAAACACACAATTCAACTTACTGAATCTGAGAGAGAAGGTGATGACTGATATACCTTTGTACTTGTAAAAAACGTTTACCTGTCTGATTTGGAAAATGAAAATATTTGAAAGAAGAGGGGACAGTGAGGAAACTGAGAAGTCAGAACGATATGACAGTGGCTGTAGACGAGAAGCATTTTCTGGGTTCAAGAGCCTTTTCTTGAAAACCATCTGCCTCTCCCCAGAGCCCAGTGCCTCCCAATGTGTAGGCACAAAGTATGGATGTGCAGTGGCCCCATTGTACGGTACCTAGTATTAAAAATGGTTTGAGATCCCATAGCAGTCTCCCCAAATCCAGCATGTCCAGTACCCCTGAAGATGGGACAGCTGCTGGAAGGTGTGAATTCGCTGGTCTAATGGAGCCAAGCGAAGACACTGAAAGATCCTGCTTCACACAGCTGTCTGTCCTCCACATACAGGAATTGGTTTATTTTGGCATACACTGATCATCAAAACCGAGCACTTCCTGTGTCCTCTGTGGACATCTGTTCACGATGCAAGAGGATCTATATGAACATTAGATTCTGTCTTGGATCTAACTCTATACTGCCTTCAACTCTATCTTTCTCTGGCTTTTTAGATTGTTTTCCAGGTCCCTCTTGAGGTGATTTTCAGGTTTACTAGCTGTTTCTTCTGTTATCACCACTGTGTCGAGTGAGCAGATCACGAACCTTGGTCTTTAGCTCATGCAAGTCTGTGGACACTTACAATATCTGATGTTCACCAGCTCTTGAACTACTAAGGCTGTCGCTTCCACCAACAGTGACCTTGGCCAAACGGGATGCTTTCTTTAGGCCTCATCTTCTTCTAAGGAGGATGATAGCTATTCCAGATTTTCCTGTTTAATATTTATGCAAGCAAGTTCTCTGTATTGATTTTATTCCAGCTCAGAAATGAATCAGCTTTATCTGCTCTCTGGTGATTAATTCTCATTTTGTCCTCAGTCTCATTTTGCCTAGGATTAAGAGCTGGCCTTAGAATTAAGTAATGGGGGAATTCTTGTTAGTTGCCACCAGTGACCACTCTTCATGAGTGTTAGTCCCTAGCTCTCCACTTAGCTACTTCTGCCTACTGATTATAAACATAGTTATGGTGTTTATTTCTAGTTCCTTGCAGGACTTTTCCAGCACTAAAGTACGAAAACACCCATCCAATCTCTGCAGTTCTAATTGCGCATCCTAGGTCCGTTCCCCTACGTTATGTGCCGCACTGCTACCCAGATGATAACCCCAAGCCTAAATCTGATGGGAGCCACTGCTGCTCAGGCCAGCCCAACCTGAGATTTAGAATAATGTTAACAAAAGCAGCTAAGAAATCAATATTTCATTTTTTCCTTTAACCTCTCTTGATTTAACATCTACGCAAGGCTCCTGTTACACAACTCTAGAAGGCTCTATTTATAAAGGCAATTGCATGAACAGGGACCCTGGGATCTGTGCAGCCTTGCAGTCCTATTCCACCATACAAGATATGAGGGATACAATTTGAATAAGACAAGCACAGTCTCTCCTCACATGAGAGAGCACTATGTGCTTTGCAAAGTCCTTCTCAATCTCTTCTAAGGGCCTGCTAGGGGTGGCATGGTAGGACTCCAGTGTACTACCCCCTCAGCTGCTCTAGTATCTACTATTTCCCTCCTTTCCAGCTTTGGCTCACTCAGATGATAACTTCGGTTGCTGTTGACTGTAATGGAGCCACTAAGGCACTAAATGCTTGTAAAAGACTGCAGAGGCTTTTTTACCCAAAGATGTGTTTTTAGGTTTTACTGATTCTCACTCAGCAATGCACAGTCTCGAGGATTTCTATAACTTCAAAGGCTACTAGCACTTTTTTTTTTTTTTTTTTTGCTGTAGCTTTTTGAGGTCTTACCAGCTCACACCATTGCAATCCATTTCCTCTAGGACTCAGACAAGTATCAGTGGGCACTGAACTAAAAGATAAAGTTGGGAATACTGCTCTATGATCTCATCTCCCCTGCTAGAATGTCTTAGCAGTAATTTCACTACCAGAATAAGCTTCCTGCTCTTCAGTGACCATAATTGATCCCTGCAGAAGCCTCCCAGCCTTACCTCCTACAGTTTCCCCAAACCATTATAGTTGTCTTTCTTCTTCTTCTTTTTTTTTTTCTTTTTTAAGATAAGATCTCACTCTGTTGCCCAGGCTGGAGTGCAGTGGCACGATTATGGCTTATGGCAGCCTTGACCTCTTGGAGTAAAGTGATCCTCCCACTTCAGCCTCCTGACTAGCTGGGATTACAGGCGCACACCACCATGCGCAGCTCATTTTCTGTATTTTTTGTAGAGATGGGGTTTCGCCATTTGCCCAGGCTAGTCTCGAACTCCTGGGCTCAAGTGATCCACTCACCTTGGCCTCCCAAAGTGCTGGGATTACAGGTGTGAGCCCCTGCGTGCTGCCATTTTAGTTTTCAAAATGCACTCACTTGTTCACACAAAGTCCATCTTGCCTTTCTTTGCAAATGCTGTGTAGCCTGCCTGAAACATTCTTTTTCCCACTTTCCCCAAATACACTGCAGCATCTCAGCATGTCATCTCCTCCAGGAAGCCTTCCCTATAACCTCCTCCTCTTCCTTCCCTGCTCAGCTGGATGCCTATCATCTGTGTTCTAGCCAAATTCCTTCCGCATCAGATTCTGACTACTGGCTTCCTGGTCTCCCATCTCCTATATACCAGTAGTTCTCAAACCTTTTGATCTAAAATCCCATCAATAAGAAAACTTGAACCTTGATCTCATATTCATATTTATTTATAAATTATATACAGGTGCTACTTTTCAAATATAGTATGTATATTATAGGCTGAACACAGTGACTCATGCCTGTAATCCCAATACTTTGGGAGGCTGAGGTGGGAGGACATTTGAAGCTAAGGGTTTGAGACCAGCCTGGTCAATATAACAAGACCATATGTCTGCAGGATGTGGTGGTACACACCTGTAGTCCTGAGGCAGGGGGGAATAACTTGAGCCCAAGAGTTCAAGGTTACACTGAGCTATGATCACACCACTGTACTCCAGCCTGGGCTACAGAGTGAGATTCTATCTCTATTATCTCTAAAACAAACTGAAACCAAAACAAATGTAGTATGTATGTTATGAAGCAAATCAAACTCTTTTTTAAACGTAGAATAGAAGGCCTAGTATCTTCATACCATACTGCAGAGTATTGCCTGGCCCACATCTTGGGGTGAATGCATTCCTCCTTGGAAGCCTCTGCACTTGATGGGAGCCTCCTGGAGAAAAGAAGCTCTTTCATTGTGCCTGCACTGCTCAATAAAAGTTACATGGGAGTATAGCTCAGCACTGTGATAAGGCAGTATGCTAAGATTTCAGTTTTCAATGTTAAAGCAGTTTCTAACTATTTGTTGCTGTTCTCTTATTTGTAGCATCAAGGCAAGATAGTCTTCAGTCTCTTAGCTTGGATTGATTACAAGTCATTCCTTCCCACGATGGTGAACCCACCCTTGGCAAGACCTCTTTCTAAGGTCTAGCGCAGTGACTGTGCTGAGCCCATAACGGGCACTTACAAAATGTTTGTCTCATTTATTTTGATGGTGCTTATTTCCCAGTCTCCGCCTGACGCAAAGCCATTCAACTAAACAGAGATAAGCAGGGAGCCATTCAGCCATGACATGAGATTTGACACTAGCTCTGCTTTTGTGGACTGACTAGGATACCTTTCCCTTTCACAGATGTTCAAATTCATTATGATGATTATTTAAATAACTATTACCACATTCATTGAGTGCCTACTATTGGACTTGATGCATTAACACAGAGCAGTTCTTAAATCCTGTGAGGTAGACAAATGCTATTATGCCCAAACTGTGGATGAGAAAAAACATGATCCTGGGAAATAAGGTCACTTGCTAAGGTCCTTAAAGCTAGTAAGTGCTGGACCTAGGATTTGAACTCTGCTCTGACTCCAGAGTCCTGGCGCCTAACATTCTATCCATACTTTAATTTATAGATTATAGAACATTTTTGTTCTCTCCCCTTGAATCTAGGGGCAAGCCCATGCTCACATAAATCACAGACACTGAGCTAGAGGGGCAGAAGCATCCTGCTTTGCCAAATGCACTTAGATGACGATACTGAAGATCAGGATGGGGAAGGGATGATGGAGATGTCATGGGCCCTCCAGCAGAAACCGAAGCTCTTGGCTTGTCTTTTCCCCTCTCCTTCTCTATTGGGAGATCCTCTCATTGCTGTTACCAAGCTTGTTTCTGGTCTTCAATACCTTATTTGAAAACGAAACTTTATAGAGATGTCAGACTTTTTAGCCACGTGTGGTGGCTGACACCTGTAATCCTAGCACTTTGGGAGGCTGAGGTGGGTGGATCGCCTGAGGTCAGGAGTTCAAGACCAGCCTGGCCATCATGGTGAAACCCCGTCTTTAAAAAACAAAAAAAAAAGAAAAAGAAAGAAAGAAAAAAAGATGTCAGACTTTTTACCCTTTTGTTGCTCTTCACCCTGTTCCTGATAATCTCCACTCTCTGCCTTCCTGCTGGTGATTTTGGGGTGGAGTAGGGAACACAGGCATCACCTGTCATGAGGAAATGTGTCCCTTTTGCTTTTGTCGTGCTCTTTGTCTTTGACTCCTGTTTTGTAAGGAGTTAACTGGTGTTGCCTTTCAGCCAATTGTTTGGCATAATGATATTTTCTGTTGCAATTTTACTTCCCAGAGTCACAGAACAAACAGTCCCACTAAATGTCTTCTCAAAGGGCTCTGCAGCCCAATCCCTTCTTTTCCAGATCTGGACCAATGTGGAGGCTACTTTTGCCTTTCAGAAAATGAAACCAGATTCCAGTCATTATTCTAGGAAATGACTTTTCCTGGGTTTTATAACTTAATTTACCTTTCTGTAATTTTCATCCCATTATGTGTTTGCCAAGATAAATGATTCTTTCTTCCTTGTATTGCCTTATATATATATATAATGACTTTTCTTATTTCAAGGACTCAAACTCAGAAGCCTTAGGATCAGACAGGGGATGCAATGAGACAAGAGGTGTGTGAATGCACCTTTGTATTGTGTGAATGATGGGACAATGGAGACCCGGAGAGAACTGTTCTCTTAAAACATTGAAAGGCAAACACATTCCACCTGCAGCCCACAATTGGCCCATGAAGCTTCCAGTTTGCAAGCTCTATTTTTCCTTCCATGCCACAGTGCAAAAGTTAGATTACTTTTATTGCCACAGCAGCCCAAGAATATCCGGATTAATTATTTCTCATCACTGTGAGATTAGATGTGATCTAATTCTTGTTGGAAATAATTCAAGGAGGATTCTTTGCACCTTAAACAGATCTTGAAGATAATATCTGAGGTGCCCAGGTAAATGGTCATATCAGAGGAAATAAATAGCTGATAAGGACTGTCTTCCTGGTTGTAACACTTCTTGGTTCTCAGCGTCTTTCCATATTCCCCAGTGCAGATCAAAGTCATAAGAAAATTTTCAACAAGCTCAGTGTCTAAGTACTCTAAATTTATCTAAAGCATGTGCTGTAAAAGATAATTTTTTATAGCACCTGACCAGTCCTTTTTTTTTTTTTTTTTTTTGAGATGGAGTCTCGCTCTGTCAGCAGGCTGGAGTGCAGTGAGTGGTATGATACTGGCTCACTGCAACCTCCACCTCGCAGGTTCCAGCAATTCTCCTGCCTCAGCCTCCCAAGTAGCTGGGCCTACAGGTGCACACCACCACACCCAGCTAATTTTCATATTTTTGGTAGAGACAGTTTGACCATATTGGCCAAGATGATCTCAATCTCTTGACCTCATGATCCACCTGCCTTGGCCTCCCTAAGTACTGGGATTACAGGCGTGAGCCACTGTGCCTGGCTGCGCCTGACCAGTCTTTATCTATAAAATCATTAACAAAACCCTTCAGTTGGTAGGTTTGGGCTGCCCAGTCTTTGAGTATCCCCTCTCTTGTGTCTGCAGCTCAATATTGCTTGCAAGGTATTCTCTTTAAAAATGTATATGGTAATCAAACATTTTAGATTACAGTCTTCAGGGTGAGAGCCAACTCATGATTCCAGATTCTTTCTCTGTCTTTCACCATTCCCATTCTCACTTTCCCCTTCCCCAATCCAGTGTTCCTCCCCTGCTGCCTTTCCCTGCCTGTCCCCAGCCCCCTGAAAATATGATGCCTTTTCAGGATTGATTCTTGAATGGGGCCTGGGCATGGAGAGTGTTTGGTATTGTGTTTGAGAAAGTTTTACCAGAGAAGAGAATTCAAGAAAGAAACACGAAAAAGGAAATTGGGAAAGGAAACAAAAAAAAGGGCAGAAGCAAAGGTTGAGAATATCTTTTTCTGTCTTCTCTCTCCTGTGCACCAAAGTCCTGCAGCAGAGGAATCCTCTCTTCAGATAATCCCTGCTTGGTCTCTTATTCTTCTGAACCACAATCACATTTGCATCTTATCTTCTTATTCTATACCCTGGTCCAAAAGACTGATCAGAGGAAAGGTCTTCACAGAAGTTCAGCATTGAAAAGACCTAGATCCGAATGCCAACTCTTTTTTTTTCACTTATAGATCATTAACCTTGGGGAAGTCACTCAATCTCTCTGGGACTTCCTTACCTACAAACTGGATCTAACAGTACAGATTCTACCCAGCTTCCGGGAACGAAATGAAATGCTGCATGTGAAAACACACTGGAAACTTAAAATGCTAATCAAAGATGAGTTATGATTGTTGTATCTGAATCCAGTGCTACAAATGCTATGGCATGTGGTCATCTAACCAAATTTTCTTAGATTATTTGGAGAAGGGGGTGGGTGTTACAGTCCAATACAGCAATGAGGTAGAGCTTTAAGTTATAGGAAGGAAACTTTAAATTGCCAACCATTGCTATTTCAGAGACATCATGAGGATGTGAAATCACTTTGGAGCATACCTGCTTTATTTTGAGATGAGTCATTTGAATGGATCCTTTTTAGTATTGTTGACATAGTAAGATACTTATTATTCTGGTGGCAGTGCAACGGGTATTATTTTAGTTTTGGTTTTGGTTTGCTTGACTAGGGCTTGCAACTTTAGCACTGCAGGCAGCTGGAATCTTGCTGCCAAAATGATTGGTTTGGGAAGTGGGCGTATGGCCAGAAAGTCCCATCAGAATTAAGTTCAGTGCTTTTATCCAGTGGTTATCTAGATATATATCCAGATAAGCCTCTGCCTGCTCTCTTCTCATCATTTGAGAAGGAAGCACATAACCCAGTTGATGCTGGAAAACATCTTAAGACCAGGAGGGACTTCTGCCTGAGGACAAAGCCAACTTAGCAGAATGTGGAATTAAGAGATCTCTGAGAAACTGAACTGGAATTCTGATAGAACTGTGCCTGAAGCCCACATTGGTCCTTGCTGTTACATGATCCAGTGATTCATCTTTATTGTATAAACCAGTTTGTGTTGGGCTTTAGAGTGCTAGATAGTGACGGTGAAGTCATCATCCTAAGTGGTGTAGAGTTCGAAGGTTTCTGGACAAGGGGTGGGAAAGTTTACATAGTGTTCAGGGAGCTTACTGAGAGGAAGCTTCCCATCTCCTAATCTTTCTTGCTGAGGTTCACAGCGGTGAACGTGCCTCTGATGGGCTAAGGTTAGACCACCTTTGACCAGCTGATGGAGGGAACGCTGCAGGAGGGAGGCCTGAGCTATCACAGAGGAAGGGAGGCTGAACTGGGTCCTAGCATTAGGGTGGGGCTGTGGATGAAGCTGTGTCACTAAGTTGATGGCCATGAGTGTAGTCTGTAAATATGCCTATGTTCAGTTTTCATAGATTCTGCCAAACCATTTTCCAGAGTCAGCTTAGCAATTTACGTACTCACCATCAGTGGTTCAGAGTTCCCAGAGCCTTTTGCTTTTATGTTGTCTACAGGCTAAATACATTTCAGTTCTTTTAATTAAGATTTTTTTTTTTTAATGCAAAGGTAACGCAAGTGCCTGAGTACCTGCTGGCTCTAACCTATTCTCCATGAAATAGGAATATCTCAGCACCTCCATCAAACAAAATTTTCCTTCCTGATACAGCAGTCATGTGGGGAGAGGGAAGGGCAAGGAGTGTGTGGTGTGGGGGGAGGGGGCGGACAGATGGTGAAGGCGTGGGTAATGGTAAGGAAGGTTATTTTCTGCACAAGTAGCAACCAGTCAAAAACGTAATATTATACTTAGGTTGATTCCATATCTTGGATATTGCAAACAGTGCTGCAATAACTTTGACATCCTGATTTCATTTCCTTTGAATATATATCCAGTAGTGAGATTGCTAGATCATATGGTAGCTCTATTTTGAATTTTTTGAGGAACCTCCATACTGTTTTCCATAATGGCTGTACTAATTTGCATTTCCATCAACAATATGTTTAAGAGTTCCCCTTCACCTGTTTGCCAGCATTTGTTATTTTTTTCTTTTTGCTAATAGCCATTCTAATTGGGGTAAAGTTATATCTCACTGTGGTCTGATTTGCATTTCCCCAATGATTACTGATGTTAAGCATTTTTCATAAATACCATCAAGGAATGAAGGAGTAAAGAAAATATGTTATTTTCACTGCTATAGTCTGAGGAAAGAAAGAAAGAGACAGAAAGAGCAGAGAGAGAGAGAGAGAGAGAATGTGTTGTTTATAAACAATGGAATACTATTCAGCTATAAAGAAGGAATGAAATCTTGTCATTTGCAGCAACATGGATGAACCCAGAAGACATTATGCTAAGTGAAATAAGCCAGGCACAGAAAGACAAGTATTTCATGACCTCACTCAGGTGCAACTTGAAGAAGTTGAGCTCACAGATGCAGAGGCCGGGGAGGAGAAAGAGGAGAGTGAGACGGGGAGAGATTGGTCAGTGGGTACAAAGTTATAGTGAGAGAGGAGGAATAAGTTCTGGCATTCTATTACACAGTGGTTCCGGCTAACAATTTTATATTGTATGTCTCAACATAACTAGGGGAAAGGATTTTGAATGTTCTCACTACAAAGAAAGGATAAATCCATGAGGTCATGCTAAATACCTTGATTTGATTTTTACACAGTATTTACATGTATCAAAATATCACACTGTACCCCATTGATGTGAACAATCATGTGTCAGTTAAAAACAAAACAACTTTCCATATGTTAAATTATTCAATATATGCTGATGAAACAAGCGGTAAGGTTTAGTATTATTTCCACTACTGCTGGTTAATTTTTTATTAATTTTTGCTTAAAATAATTCCTTAGTCATCTAAAAAATTCATCTTATTGGACTTAGGTAACTAGTGACACCAGCTTGTTAAGCATGAAAGATATACTTGAAGATGGCGGAGAGAGTTGATATAAACTTAATTGACTTAATATTTTCATTTAAATATATGTATCTCCTAAAAAAGCAAAACATGCAAACTGACAAAACTATGCATGCGCACTCAAATAGTACCTAACATATTCCTATGTTGCCTTTCATGGGTTCCATTTTTGGAGTAGGAGGTGGCAGCGTCATGAATTGGATTCCATGTTTCCAGTGGTCATGTCTTTCACTGTCTATTGGGTAGGCTTGTCATAAATGCTAGATTCGTGGGATTACTGTCAGTCAGTATTACCTGCCAGCTTTTGGGAACTAATGAACAGAGCTCAGGAGTTTCTGAATTTTTCTATGAACTTGTTCCTGCCATGTTACAGTTGGCACTTTCAGCAATTCACTTTTTCGTCCATTCGGAGACATCTTGTAGCAGAGACTTCTAGGTACCTAGCCAGTATCTGTTTCCACCTTGCTCTTTAGTAACAGGGTGAGAATAAAAAACACTGAGTCAACTGCTGGGCATTGTTTTCACTTGGCCCATGTTCCCTTCTGTTTCCAAGAGCACGGCAAGACAGCCGGAGCAACAGTAGCTATCTTATGAATGTGAGAATGTGGACCCCACTAGGATGATGAACTGGAAGTGCCCTATCAGCCCTGCACTGCCTACTTCTGGAATTCTCATTCTGTGAGAGAATAATAAATTCCTATTGATTTAAACCACTGCTTCTCAGGTTTCTATTACTCATAGTTGAATGAAATTCTGGTATTCTAAATATTCATTCAATGTAATCCCCCATTTGATTTGTTCAGCATTTTACAATTGACTTGGAACAGAAGCCTTTACAACAGAAATGTATACAACTCACTGAGGCTCCCTGACCTGGGTCATGAAGGACTAAGCTTTAAAGGCTCTGCCAAGCCAAATGATCCACTGTGGAACCAGGGGTTGGGTAGCAGGGCAGGTCTTTCTACTCCAAGGTAGCATCTGGAAGTCCACAGGGTAGAATCAAAAGTTGAGGACTAAAGGTCATCATAGCAGAGCTCCCTGCCTGTTGTTGTCGCAGGAAGGAGAGATCCATGACAATGTGTTGCAACAAATGTGAAACTTCCTCCTGCTTTTGCACTAGAGATTTGCAGGCCTGCCTGTTGAGTTAATCAAGCCCTCGAATCTCAGTGTCAAGGTCTTTTGGAAGCTGTAAAGGATTCTGTCATCAGCCCATAGGCACTTTCTCACTCACCTGCCTTTTTCTACCTGGCCTTAGACTAGGGATGATTTTCCACCCCTTTCCCCCCACTTCAACACCATCACCAGTGAAAAGGTCACTGCGGTTGTGAAAGGAACAGCAAAAATGCTCACTGTGGCAGATATCACTCCCACTCCATTTCTATCTCCCACTCCATTTCCCCCTTTTCAAAATTTTGTTTCCCCAAACCATTATTTTATTTTGTTTTATTGAGATGGAGTCCCACTCTGTGGCCTAGGCTGGAGTGCAGTGGTGCAATCTCAGCTCACCACAGCCTCCACCTCCTTGGTTCAAGTGATTCTTGTGCCTCAGCCTCCTGAGTAGCTGGGATTATAGGAGTGTGCCACCATGCTTGGCTGATTTTTGTATTTTTAGCAGAGATGGGGTTTCATCATGTTGGCCAGGCTCATCTTAAACTCCTGACCTCAGGTGATCCACCCACCTCGGCCTCCCAAAGTGCTGGGAATACAAGCATGAGCCACCATACTTGACCACATGATTTTATTAGTAAAAAAAAAAGTGTTTACCAAAAAGAAAATGTAGGAACTAAAATAGGTCAACTGCATACTGAAACATTTTGTGAGTACAGCTTCCCAAAAGCAATTTATAGATACAGAAAACTGAAGCAAGCTGAAGATTAAAGCAGGGGTGAAAAAAAACAAAAAAAGAAAGAATAAATGAGTTTAAACTTAAGCAGGTCTGATCTACCTGCTTGGTAAGTGAATGAGACCATTTCCAAAATCAAGAACTTTTTTTTTTTTTTTTGCTCTGCCAGTTATTAAATTAATAATCTGAGCTATATCCCTTAATACCAGAGTCATTTTAGTAATGGTGTAGCTTATAAACTTTTCACTCTCCTGTGGTTTCTTAAGCTGAGCTGGAGCCAACTTTTCAAACTACATTTAACTCAAAGCGCTGTTTTAGTGCGTTATAGACTTCAATGGGAGCTAGAGCAGGTGTTTCCCCAGACCACCATGCTAGGTGTATGGTCAAAGCGCTAATGAGGAATGAAGTTCATATTCTGTGTCCTGACTCCTGCAATCTCCTCCTTCTCTTTCTTTTTTTTCTTTTTTGAGACAGGGTCTTGCTTTGTCACCCAGTCTGGAGTGAAGTGGTGATCGTGGCTCACTGCAACCTCGACCTCCTCGAATGAAGTGATCTCCCACCTCAGCCACCTGAGTAGTTGGGACTACAGGCACAAGCCACCATACCCAGCTAATTTTTTGTAAACATGGGGTCTCACTGTGTTCTCAGGCTGAATCTCCTCCTTCTGGTCCAAACAAGACAGGGAATTTCTGGGTGCCCTATAATGGCTTCCATTCCTGCAAGTGTCAATGTCTGTCCCTGGCAGCCCCACCTGGAGAATCCTGGGTTCTTGCACGTGTTATCATAATGCCGCTCTGCTCAGAGCCCTGCTTCAGAGCCACGCTAAGCCCACTCAGGCCTCCTCTACCCTGAGCTATATCTCTTAATGCCAGAGTCATTTTAGTAATGGTGAGTGAGGAGTCCCAGCAGCACAGGGCACATCGGGCTGCCCCTAGATCAGTCATCTCCAGATGTGTTCAAGGGGCCCCCTTTTTCTGGCTCCCACCAGCCACCCAG